TTTAATCGATTAAATCGATTAGTTGTTGCAGCCCTAGTTGTTTTGATTAAATTGTTTATATTTATACTTCAATACACTTTTAGTATGCCATTAAGTGCAGTAGAAAAGCAAAGGCATTATCGCACTTGCCGAGACCAAGATCCTGAGAGAAGGGCAAAGTACCTTGAATGGGAGAGGAAGAAATGGAGGAGAGACAGAGAACAGGGGAAGAAGAAATCCATACACGAGTGTAGTGAGAGAGCAGAGGTTACAGCGGAGAAAATGGAGACAAGCCCAGGCAAAGAGCAGAGCAGCAAAAAAGGCAGTTTCAGTTGCACTCAGCAGCTTATCTACTCCTCCAGTGAGCCCAGAAACATTACAGGCAAATCAAGAGGCTGGTCCTTCAAGGTTAGAACAATGAAAAAATAAGTCGCTATACACAAGCCATAAACAGTATAGTGCAGGTGTACATGCAGGTATACATATAACATGCACAGGTAAAGAGTATTAAGAAGCAGTGCAATTCTGCATGGAAGAATGCATTCAAGAACAGACCCATAACAAGTACAAGATATATTCCAGATGAGCCTGAGTAGCATTATCAAGGCATTATCACCTTTTGTGTTTATGGTTATTTTTCAGGCAACACACTGCAGGAAGAAAGTGACGTAAAATACACCAGAAAAAAATACATTCTCTGCTGCTTTGTCTAGAAAAAATCCTGCAAAAGGAACGTAAAGAGAAGGAGAAATTCAAGAAAAGATACCAAAGACTGCTGGGAAAAAAAACTGTCTCCAAGATAAACCGTGAGTTCCATCCTTTGCCCAAAGCAGTCAGAAAACGTCTCCTTTTCCACACTGCCTTTACTAAAGACATCAGTAACCAGTATCACAAAGCCAGAGGTGAAAAAGAGAAACAATTAGTTGCAAAAATATGTGCAGGAGGAAAGATACGAAAATACAGGCTCAGAAAATATGCACAAACACTTTTGGATTTCTCACAAAAAAGATGGAAATACTCTGACAAAGACCAATTCACATTCAAACGAAAAAGAAACACTCGGACAGCTGATGAAATTAAGAATTGTGTGAAGCAGTTCTTTCAACGGGATGATGTGAGCCGTTTGACGACTGGTAGGAAGCAGACAAAGACAAGGTCCCTCACTAGTTGAGAGGCGCAGGGATTGCTGGGATTGCTGCGAGGATTGCTGGGATTGCTGCGATTGCTGCGAGAGAGTGGTGTTGAGCTGCAGCGATTGTTTGGGATTGTTTTTTTTGGAGTGTTTTGAGTGTTTGTGTGCTTTACCTGTTTACGTGGGTGGCTGTTTATTTCTATTTATTGTTCTTAT